CCATATAACTCAGTATTTCAACAGCAGCACTCAGCAAATACAGAAATATTTAGCTGAAAACCAGAAAAGTTGGGCAGGGCTGCCCATGCTTCCAAAGCCCTTCTTAGTCTTAAACTGAGCTGCACGGAGATTGAAGTTTTTTGCAGGCAGCAGCTCACTGCCATTGGCTCTGAGTACGTAAGCACCATCTCTCCCCCTTCAGCACAGACACAGCAACTGAAGATCTGCTCCCACGTATTTCGTTCTTTTAAATCCTCTCTCTGGTGGTCATACATGCCTTGCCAGATGCCAGCCCAGGTGGGATCCAATGGCGATGTCTCACCGATGGCTCCAAGCCCAAGGCACTGCAATAACCCCAACCCCAGCCTGGATCCCATGGTAAAAGGCACTCTGTCAGGGCAGGAAGTAAGCTAGCCATGTCTGAACCCTACTGCGTGAGTAGGGGATTGCAGAGGTCTTCTGACCGTGTTCTTCGTCTGTATGTCAGGATAGATTTTCCCCAACATATGGGCAACAAATAAACATCCAGAGAATACAAAGTAAGAGCCTACATTCCGTGACATTGATGGGAAGCTCTGTGAGAAGGGCACTATTTGGGGGTGGGGAGAGCTGCGATCAGCTCCCCCATTCACCTGAGATTCTTACAGTCTAACTAAAGGAGTTCACCCATTGGCAACTGCAGGAAATACAAGAGCGGCTAGAAAACAAGAAAGTGACTTCATATTTGCTCCTCGGTTAACTACTTCCTTCTTGAAAAAGGAAGAAATAGCTTTTCCAGCCTAAACCATTTATATACACTTATACCACAACTCTGAAATTCCGTAAATTTATTTGAAATTACATAATTTATCCTTGTCAAGAGCTGCCTATTGAATTCAAAGCCCTCTCAAACACGCTTTCGGCTTCGTTTCTGAGATGAAAGTGTTATGACAACGTACAGCACAAGACTCCGGCGTTTAATCATTCCGAGTGCTTATGATCAGAAAAGTAAGGCAAGTTGTAAGGTCTGCATTAATATAAACACCCCGATGACCTCTCGTACCCCATGGCACAGTGAAAACTCAATTTCACATTAACAAACCCTAAAATCAAACCGTTAGAAACTGAAAAGACACCAGGTATTACAATTTATATAAATTACAGCAGAGATCAAATGGCCTGTAGAAGCAATCGTACAGCAATAAAACCTAAGTGGATGGTATTTAAACAGATATTTGATTTATTTTCTATCTGTGGAATTTTCCATCCAGCCAGAATTCACAAGACAGTTTGGAAATCAAGAATAAAGAAATCCCACCCCACACAAACTACTGTTTGAAGCACTGTGTCAGACACGCTTATTACTGGGACTAACGAAAGAAATGCTTCCCTCTGGTACGCTCTGGACACAGCCTTAGAAGCCAAAGCAAAAACTCTAACATTGACAGAAGAGGAAAAAGCAGATGTGCTGCTTCCTCAATGTGGGGTAGGAAATAACGCCCTCCATTTTCTTAGGGTTAAGACTCCCAAACTGGATTTTTGTAACCTCACAGAGCTGGCTGCAGTCTCTACCACTGCTGCTAAGCTTGAGGGTGCCTCTCAAGCGATGCGAAGCGATGTACAAACTGTAAGGGCTGCACAACAGCCAGCCTTATCTTTCATTAACGATAGCAAAGCTGCTAGTTAATATCAATTGCTGGATCTGCTTTCCACTGGAAAGCTGCTTCCTACTCAAGTTCAGCACTGTCCATCAAGATGTACCAAATACAAGAACCCAACCAACCCGCAGCCTTCCTCCCGACCCGATCCAGGGGAACCTCTCAGCCAATAGTGGTGGTGGCAGTAATCGTTCTGAATCTATCCATAACACTGAACTGCTCCTTCACTGACTGCAAACACCAATTTCTTTCGCCGAGGATTATAAGTTGGTGTTCACGGTCTCTCCGCTGCCATTAGGGTGATAAACAGTTTAAACTACATCAGGATCTGACATGTAGATCAATTCTGGGTCCATAAAGAATCCACACAAGGGGTTCCTGGACAGGGATTTACTGCCCCCAGTTTTTATTCTCGCTTGCTGCTAAAATTACTCCTGTCAAGTACTTACAAGAGTAAGAAAAAATGTAAAAAGCATTAATTTTTCATGTTCTTCTGGAGCTGCTTCTTTACATTTCCAAGTTTTAAGACAAATATGTTAGTGAATTTAAAATCACACGGAGCAGCGGGCGGTATCTAGCTAAATTGTGAGCCATTGGCGTGGGCCGCTCACTATCTGGCAGACAGCAATTTGAAACACTGAACTAAGCTGTCTGGATTTTCTCTGAGGGCAGTCACAGGCTTCATGTTACCAGTGCCAAATTATATTAGACATTTAATTTTAAACCTCAGGTACTTAAATGTAAAACCTTACAACAGTAATAGTCATAAAGCAGTGGGGCATTCCATTTCAGAGAATGGATTTTTCTATTTTTCCCCTTTAATTTATCCAGCACCTCCTGTTTTGTGGCTCTGCCCACTACAAAGTAATTTATCTAATTAGGAGATGTTCACAGCTGCTTGAAAGACAGAAGCCCCAGGAAACCAAAGGTCTGCTTCGGAAGACTTTGAAAAGTTCTCCAGAGCCACACAAAGTATTAATTTAATGTGAAAAAAAGGTGCAGAGAAAAATTGAATCCCAATATGTTATTTTGTCTACAATAAAACCGTTTGACAATAAGCAGACATATTCTCCAGTACATTGGCATTTGAATTCCAAAAGATGCTTAGCTTCTCTCCGTACCTGCTGCTTTCACAGTATTACCTTTTTATGACTAAAATTCAAAATCTTTTAATGGAGAAAAAAAACCCTGAAATTAAAAAGGGTTTTTCATGCGTCAACTTGCTGGCATAAAGGACACATCTATGAGCTTCCCGAAAGACGATACGCTGATGGAAAGGAATGTTCTTGATGCTTTGCAGCCGTTTTATCACAATACCTCTGTTTACCCTGACATTCCGTTGGCTAAAAATGGCCACTATCCATTCTCCTCACATATTAAAGCCATTTCTTATTGTTTCAGAAAAGCAGAACCTCTGCGAGAAATTAAGTCAGGCTGATCCAGAACCACCCACCAGTCAACTTCAGCTCCTTAATAAATATTTCATAGATAATTCTAGCTGTCATCTCTTTTGATCCAGAAGTAATCACATATGAATGTCAAGTCAAAAAAAGGAGTACAGAGGATGTGCAGGAGGAAAGGTTCCCTTCCCCAATAATTTAGAACTAGCTGCAGTGCAGAACCAGGAGCCACCGCAACTCCAGTGCAGAAGCAGCACCTCAAGGTCAAGGGGAAGGAGAAGGAAGTTAGGCTCCGTTTCTAGTTTTCAGCACATAAATTACATGCCATTTTTAGGGAATCATTGAGTTTTGCATTTGAAGATGTTGTTCCATTGCAGCCTTGGTTTTCTCATCTGTTAAAGGCACGGCTCAGCCGTCTGCAGGTCTGGCAGGTGCAGGGACCAGGCACTGGCTATGCCTTGACTTTCACCTGCCTTCATTCCAGCGAGAACACACAATGTTCTCCAACTTCCCTTTGAAGAGCTACAGTGTAAAAGAAGGGCACTGGAAAGCTGAAGCTCCGGTATAAGCTTTTAAAAGCAAAGTAGAATCAGGGTGGATGGAAATAACAGAGCAGCTCAGAAGAGAGAAGAGCATGCAGCCTTAACTGCGAAACTAGTTTGGTCCAAAGGAACTGCTACATTAGCAATGCAAGGGGTGAATGAAAATACTCTCCTTGCTGGAAGGAAAACAAGCAGGAGGAGGAGAATGCTGGCTGTCCCAAGAGACTAACCAGGTCTCAGAGAAGCAAGTAAGCTGGGCTGACACTGAAGAGAACAGTGCTGAAGAACTTCACCATTCTGCCTGCTTCAGAAAATTCTTGATCCAAACCTGCATCATTTTGATGCAAATATCACACTGCTGAAGGTCCTGCCTGCACGTTCAGAGCTGCAGAAATGGATGTGCTTAAGCAACCATAAACTTGAGCATGAATCAGCCAGTGCTGAGGTGACTGATTTGAACTCTCCTTTTCCGTAAGGTAGCATTGAAAATCTATCCACAGCTGCCTGAAAACTCCAGACTCAGACCTTAAACAGTGAACAGACACACGTGGGACACACAAAATAGTCTTTATGCTCCTGCCATTCTCCCTGTTTTTTGAAACAGCCATCAGAAATAGTCCTCCCTCTCTCCTCTCTTACGCACATACTTATTCATGCTATCCACAATCCTATTTTACTTCTGTGCAGAGCTCTCTTTCACACATATCTCCCTTTCACTTGCTGCCCTCCGTTTCAGGAGCTTCCCATGGCTTCCCCAGTAAGCTGGCACAACCTGCATGCCCCAGACCCATGTTTCCCCAGTACCAACCTGACCTGCAGCTCACTATGACACAGCCCTCCACTCTTATCCCCCATGAGTGCCATGGCTGCCCCAATGCGCCATAATCCTCCCCTGTGCAATGTTTTCCTGCTATCTTGCCCACCCTTTAAAAGCAACAAGCTGTTTTGCTGTTACTCTCAATACAAAACACCATCTGGAATAGCCTTCGCTCCTTTCAACACTGTTAAATAGTCTAAATACTAGAAGAGAAAAAAAACAGGTATGCCAGCAGCGTGCATCCTTCAAAGCAAGGCCACAATGAAGAAAGGGCACGCCACTGAATAGGTCTGCAGGGCAATTTACTGCTAATACCAACCACACAGAATAAGAAAATAAGAATACAAAGCGAACAACCTACATTATGAACCTGACATTCAAATTAAGCAGTAGTATCATACATCAGCTCTTCCCACTGAGAAAACATTGTATTAATCTGTTCTTTCATACGATGCCTCCTTTTTCCCTCGGATGCTGGAAGTTTGGCTTCCAACAGAATATCTGGGTGAATAACATCTGGTCGTATTTTCACTTTAACCACAGAACACCAAATTCCCTTTTCACCCCAATGCAGGTCACCCCCCCCCAGCTCCAAGTTTCTTACCACTGCTAATGCCAGAGTTTGCAATGACTGTTGCCTCACTCCACTGATCTGCACTGGAGACCGAGTAAGAGCGCTGATGCATACCGTCCGGACGGCTGTTGAAGGAGACTAGACTGATCCCACTTGCCATCTGAGACACAGATGTGCTAGTAGTCACGTTCCCTAGACATAAATGGAAAACAAATTGTGTCAATAGAGAAGATAAAATTGATTGACATGAAGGTGGATGGCATGAAGATCTTAACAGAGCAGAAAAAGAAAGTATTTGACCAACAGAAAAAGCAACGCAGCCCTCTCTGAAACCCTAAAGGCTACAGATTTCAGCAGCCCACTCCAACCTCATTAGGGGCTTCCAACAAAACAGCCTAAATTTACCATATTTCAGCTCATCCTGTTCATTCGCCTCCTGGAAAGCTTGAGCCTCAACAACCCAGCTAGCAGGCACGTTTTGTACAGGTTCTGCACTGTTACAGCTATGACACAAAAGGCAAACTGAGCATGAAAAAAAAATATATACATCCTTGAAGTCCACTGCTGACACGAGCAACCAAGGTGAGACAGCCAACCCGAGGTGCTTAAAATAATCTAAGTCCAAACAAAACTTAAAATAATTACGTCCACAACTCGAGATGGGCCAAAAGAGTCTGCTTTGGAGTTTCTGTTTCTGACCATATTTTGCTCCAATCCTGGCACAGGATTTGCACATGATACAAACATATTTTATAATGCTGGTTTCATTCTTCGTGGCAGGCTCTTCCTAAGGGCAGCAGGCACTGCTGACTTTCTGACTGCTCTTGAAAGGCAACCCAGAGGTCTTCCAAGGCCTTAAGAACACTCTTTAAAAGCATATGCAAAGAAACAGACGTAATTTTGTAAGATACGATAACACTTTGGATTTCCATTGTACCTTCTAGTGATGAGTTCAGAAAAATTAATGAATTAATTTTCAATGCTCCTGTGAGGTTGTTAATTATCTGCTATCATTTCCCCCATTTTTCAGAGGTTAAATGACCCTGGGCCACAAAGGAAGATAGTGGCAGACATGAAAATAAAACCCAGATCTCCTGACTCCCAGTTCTATCATTATGTCTTTTCCCAGAGCAGCCTTTGAGAAGACAGCGGAGCTCAGTGAACTACTTTGTGTTTATTAGAGTTGGCATAATTGTCCCTTTTTCTCCCTTCTTTTCCCAAGACTGAATCTCATCTTTAGTCCTTAACACGGATCCATCTCGCACTGCATTTGTCTGCCTGGTGTTGAACATACTCAGCCTCATGAACTTCTGTTTGACAATCTCTGCTTCGTAGATGTGAAACAGACAGAGAAACTAAGTGGATTTGCTCAATTACACAAAGCCTAAGGTATGTTTTACAGCTGTGCTGGACAGTCTCAAGGCAGGGCTGTAGCCACTGGCATCTTTCCTCTCTAATCACTATCCCTGGGCAACTCTTTTTGTCCGTGAGAAGCCCACAATCACAGTATCACCTTCCAAGCTGTTGAAAAAATCTGCCTCCAACCACCACTCCTCTTCATGATGTTGTATGCTGGACCCATCAGCTGAAAGCCATTTGCACCAGCTACTGTTTTAGCAGTTTCTAAAGACGTTACCCAAAAAAGAAGTTTAAGAAGTTTAGCAAGGAAATCAGGCCACAGAAGCAAAGGAAGTAATCGAGGCTTGAAGTTGTGGCCTAGCATTCTGAAGTTGCAATATGCTACACGAAAACACAAGCTAACATTTCGTATTTTCAGTTCTCTTCTAAGACAAACCTCCCACCGAACGAATTTCAGTGGTGCTGCTAATACTCAGCAACAGAATTTCCCTCTACTTCTCACAGCCCAGAAAACCCATGAACACGAATACGTTATTTTGATGAAGAGAGTGGCTGATGTGAATGACAGATCCTGAGCCCAAGACTTTGGGACTTAGGCCAACACAAACACCACGTGGTTCGGCACAAAGTGCTAAGGTTTTTCTGGAAACAAGAAAAGACCCAGTGAAGAACTGCCAAGATGGTCCAAGTTCTACTAACAGAAGGTTTCTGAGTGCTGGCTCAGTCTGGTGAGCAGCAGGACAGTGGCTGACTCACCCAGCTGTGGTCATAGCCCTGCTCCAAGCATGAGGATGGCAGATGTACCTCCAGAGCTCCCTTTCAACCAGCACTTCTAGAGCGCTGCCGATCACTGTGTTTTCTTTTTCCTTCCATCTCAAAGCAAAATCACACTGAGCTTTCTGAGCTGAGAAGCTACATCACATTCCCATTCCATTCAAAATATTTTCAACAATTTACACCTTGATGCATTTAAGCAGAAAAATGGCTTCTTTTCCTTACCTGGATGGCTTATGGGCTTGTGATGGAAACTAAAGAGATCCCTACAGGTCCTTTATTTCTTTTTAAATGAGCTTACAGCAAAGTTACCGACTCTTTTCTAGTCTTGCTTCCAAATTTGTATATTAGCCTTTAAGCTTGCAATTAACTCAGCTGACTGAATTTATCAAATCAAACTCACAGGTGACAATTACATGACAGATCAATCTAAACTCTTCGCTTTGCTTTATTTCTGCTGCAGCACCTTGAGAATATCACCAGTGAACGGCTTTAGAAGCAACTTACTTTTCACAAACAATTAGGTTTCCTATTGGGAAATACACACAAGCCTCCTCCCCCCCATCATGCTCCTGACAAATGGCATCCACCCTGCCTGACACAAGAGTAAAGCCACAAACACGCACTTCCAGCCTGTAGCTATCTTTCACTCTGTGCTGTGTAAAAACGGGAAGCTACAGCTGATGAATTCCTGCAGGAGACTCTTTGTAACAAGGATCACGAAGGAGAAAGCCTGGTATGTGAAAGCTGAGACGTAGCATTTCCCAGCTATCATGGAAAAATGGAAAACAATCACAGGACATCTCTGCCTGACGTGTCCCCATTACCCTGTGCTGGGTGGCTGAATTGCTAAGACCAATGTTTGTATGTTGACAGCTTTTGTCCAGTTCACAATTATTATTATTATTATTATTATTTTTTAATTTTCTAACAGAGGTGTCTGGTCACTTTCCAACCAGGATAGAAACCCCAAATTTTAATAGGACACCAGGCATAACATCTAGACTTCGACATCATCATGTCAGCACCAAAGGCGTTGCTGTCAGCTTAATGCTGTCTTCTGAAGCTCTGCAGCCCAGGTTATGACATTCATCTGTTGAGGAAGCGTAAAACAAATAGGAATCCTTCTTCCAATTCATATTTGTGAAAGCTCTGGGCTGTTAGCAACAAATAGCTGCCAAGTCCCATTTTTTATACTTTACTGATCCACAATGCAACCCAACTCAGCTCTTTCTGCTGCCAGTTTGATAACTCTGCTACCAGTTTGCCCCTTTGTGATACCATCAACTCAAGGTTACATTCCACTTTTTTTCAGATGCTGTATGATTTTCTCAGTGCATCAGAGCATGCAAGTCAGGGGGAAGTTTTTTACTATGAGAGTGGTGGAACAGCTGCCCAGAGAGCTGTGGATGCCCCGTCCATCCCTGGAGGTGTTCAAGGCCAGGTTGGATGGGGCCCTGGGCAGCCTGGGCTGGTACTGAATGTGGAGGTTGGTGGTCCTGCATGTGGCCTGTATGTGGCTTCATGATCCATGTGGTCCCTCCCAACCCAAGCCATTCTATGATTCTATGATCTACAGGTAGACATCAGAAGGGCTGACCTACAGAACGCACAGTACGACCTGCACTGGTGTAGTAGCAATGGGCACACTCCACCACAAAGCTTTTAGATACAGCTTTATTTAAAAACCTCAATCTCTGTATCCACTGATGTCTTTTCCCCGCTTCTCAATCTAATTGCAGCAAACTCAAGACATGCATTGCACTGCAATAGCACGCAGCAGTGTTGTCACAGTAAAATTGGAAGCCACCTGCTGCTCTTGCACACTTGCTGCTTCTACCAAACAGTTCTGTGCCTTTTCCAGTCATAGAATGAACCGTAGAATGGCCTGGGTTGAAAAGGACCACAATGATCATCTGGTTCCAACCCCCTGCTGTGTGCAGGGTCACCAACCAGCAGACCAGGCTGCCCAGAGCCACATCCAGCCTGGCCTTGGATGCCCGCAGGGATGGGGCATCCACAGCCTCCTTGGGCAACCTGTTCCAGTGCCTCACCAGCCTCTGTGTGACCTCCTCACCTCCACAGTGCAACAGTACTTCATTTTTGCTCAAAGATGAAACCTCAGCAGCAGAAATCATCTCAGTCTTTTAGCAGACAAGCCAGACAGATAAAAATAGCAAGCCAACAACACTTAATGAAAAGCAAACCTTCTACATTGAGGGAGGTGTACAAAGCCTTCCTATTAAGCAGTAATACAACTAACTATGCATCCTGCATCTGCTGTCTGCCCCAGCTGTACCTGTATACACACACATCTCCCAGCCTATTAATATCTATCCGTATGTAGATAGAGAGATATAAATACATAAGTCAACATTACCGTGAAATCCACGGCCAGCTACTTGGCCCACTCTGGAGTTCTGAAAGAGTGCCTCTTCAAATACATCATATATGCATCAGCTGGTCGCTTAAGTTGATTAGCAGGGGGCAGTTAAATTACTATGCTAATCCATGTATTCTCAGCACTGTTTCCTTGATATGGATATGTGTATATGCTTACTGGGAGGCCTTGATTAGTTCAAGCTTCAATGTGTCAAAGGCTCCAGATTCTTTCCAAAGAATAATTTTAGCTGTACTCACATCCCTAAAGTGTAGGAGCTGATTTGAAAAGGTACTTACCTCTACCATATGCTATTTTTCTTTAAACAATTTGCATTTCAAAGTGAATATGGCATTTATATTTGAATGAATATCAGTATGTTGCCAGAACTGGTCTCAAATGAGCAAAAAAAAAAAGATGCTGGTCTCCTATTGAACAAAAATGTTTTCATCTACCAAAGGAGCATCAAAGGAAGAGTTCCTCTTTCTAGCTCTAGACAGCTTTATTAAAACTATATTTTCTGATATTATAAAATACCCTGTTATGATCATGCTCACAAAAACGTTCAAACAATTAAGCTCTATTAAAACTACCCAAATTAAGATCCATGGTAATTTCCAGTTTTGGGCAATAGAAGAGCCTTTGAAGAAAGTCAGGGTGTTCACACAAAAAAAATAAA